GTATCCGCTTCTTGACTGACCTGCTCTGCCGCATTGTGCTCCGAAGTCTCCTTCTTGTACTTCTTGCTGCTCTTGGATCTGGAGCGTCGCGGTGCTGTACATACCGCACTCCAGTGAGCATGACAGGAGCGACAAAAGGTCATCTTTGGTGTGTTGTTGACTCTGCATGCGTGACAATGCCACGTCATGGCACCCAGCCGCTGGACTTGGAAAGAGAATTCGACTGTAAGAATGATGCCTGTGCAGTATGCTCCAAGCCAATCTCGCTTTCCTTCTCGTCCCTCGCCCCCACAAGCCGATGCGAACCTTGTTTAGGCAGGATCACGCTCGTTGCCTTTTCCGTCGAAGGCCACGATGCCAATTTGGTTCCACCTGCTTCGCCAGTCTGAGTGTTCAAAAGGGCAATGAAGTCACACACCGGCCAAATCGCGAGCAGTCGCCCAAACATGCGATGAGCGAAAGCCCTATGGTCAGTGGCTAAGGGGGTAGTGGCAATCACAAAACTACCACCCCTGGGCCGAAACCTTATATATATAATATAATATAATATATATATATAATATAATATATATATATAATATAATATATATAATATATAATATATATAATATAATATAATATATATATATATATTATATATATATTTTATATTATATATATAATACATATATATAATACATATATATATAATATATATATATAATACATATATATATAATACATATATATATATAATACATATATATAATACATATATATATATATAATACATATATATATAATACATATATATATATATAATCTATGTAATACATATATATATATATAAATAATATAATGTAATCTATATATAATCTATATATATATGTATTCTATAAATAATAATATATAATATATATTTATACCATGTCGCATGGCACTTCCTTTCAATATTTTTTCTTAACCATGTCAGACGGACTGAAACTGGACCCCTTCGCTCTGTGAGCCATAGAGCCAACGGCTTCACTTCCACAAGCCAGTCATGGCAACGCAGGACATGTCTGCCGCGGCTTGTGTCGTGTTGCGGCTGTCCTGTGGCATTGGCATTTTTATAGGCTGTGATTGGTTTCGGCGTTTTACATCGCCCCAATCCAACGTGGGAACGTGACACAACCAGAGATAGAGTCGAAAAACAGAGTGAAGTGGACAATTCCAAAAACGAACATCACGTTCCTACACACCTCTCTTGATGTCAAGATGTTTCGGTGCAGCCGGACGTGTCGGATCGATTCGGATCACGGTGCCAGACGTTGTCTGACGTGGCACAAGTCGCGCTCAGAGCTGCCAAGCGGACGGTGAAGCATCAGCGTTGTAAAATTCAAACCCTCCGGTTACAGTATGGGTCAAATTTAGACATTATTCCCACAACATCCTACATGCATAGCAATTTATAGGGGGATGATGATGATGATGGAGAATGGGTATGAAATCACCAACTATTCAGGGGTGCAGGGTTTCGACCCATCCCAGCTGTATGGTTTCCGGCAACGATGTGTTGACCTTTTTTCATACCTGGGGGTAGTAGAATGCCCGGCAACATGTGTTTGCTACCCAGCATGCTCCACGTATGATATATTTAGCCACATTTGGGTGATGTTCAAAGTAAATTAAGTAAATGTTGGCCCAATGGCAAATATTCCATACCTGGAGCATTTAGGTATTGCTGTGTATCCATAGCTAGCGATAACTGTAACCGACATGATTGCAGCACTCGTAGAGAAGTTTTCGCAACTTCACAAGGCTACCTGCCACTGTTATTAATGGTCTTAAACTGTTTTATGTCTGAATTTTGAGAAGGCCACCAAACTGATTGAGTGGGAAGAATCTGCACAAAGCAACACCGCACAACCAAAAAAGTCATGATGCGTTGTGGCTTGCACCTGTCTTCAAAAAGTTCTCATCGGTGTGATCCTTTCTTGGGAACCCTGATTCTGAAGACGTTTCGTTCGGCTTTCGAGCAGAACCTGCCGCACGCAGGGTTGTTCAGTAATGTGAATCCCAGAAGTGGATGATGGGAACATTTACAGGAACCTCCTAGAATTGCTGGCAAAAATATGCAAAGATCATGTTTTCCGGTGAAGATTTTCCCACCAAGTCCGGTGAGTTTGCAGCTCCTGTCCCATGAAGCGCGGCCGCAGCGAATGCCTTCAGGGCGGGTGAGATTGAAAAGGTGCGGGCTTCACCACGAGCATGGCTGGGGACCTCACAGCAGCCTCAGCAGAATTGAAAAAGAGGCCGAATTATGTCTCAGAATATATGATTATATATATATATATTTTGCTCTTTATTTATTCATCCATTTTTTAAATTTATACATGATCATTATTATCTCATGAAGCTTGTGAATCGATAGATCATGAGATACCATGAGTGTTATTTTACATTCATATGCCAAGATCAGCAACCAACGGTAGACGGCAACAACGATACAGGTCGGCATGCTGATAATCCCATCCCTCCAACATTAAACACCCCCGATTCCATGGTACCAAATTAATCCCCTACTAAACCATGGTTTCTAGGGGTGTTTAATGCCAATGCCAACCCCCAGGTAAAATTGCTTCCAGTGTTTTCTTTCATTTTTTGGCAACAAAATCATGAATCCAAACTGATGTGACAGGATGACTCCTATTCTGCAAAGTCCTTTCCATCACTGCCCTGGACTGATGGTGTCCGTGTCTTTGTTCTCTACTTTCGAATTCCACTTGGTTGGGTTATCACTCTAAACGATTAACGCAATGGGGCGGGTTGCACCGGATCTATTTTGACCTCCGAAGTTAAGCAGGAGAGATTTGACTTCCGAAGTTAAGCAGGAGAGAACCCGCGCAGGCCAGTATGGGCCATTTGTCCTTGAAACCCCGTTTTTAGCACCAAGATAGCTTGAAGTTCTGGATATGATGATATCATGATAGATGATAGCTGTCCGTCCCCACATGCAGCCGAACTACTCAGATGAAACTGCGCAGACCCTCCAGTGGGTTGCCCAGCCTTCATATTTTACTCGCGGATTTCATATCGGTTCAAAACATGTTTGGAAAGGCAGGCAGATCCCTACAGACCTTACATGACATGACTGAATTTGCCCATCCATCCGCTGATCAGTGAATCAGGTTATGCAGTGTGATGTAGTATGGCAAGATTCGTTTACGCGCATGTTTATATGCTTAATCTAAATTATTCTGTATGTGCGTAAATATACATATGTCTATATTAATATGCGTGTGTAATGTAATGGGACGTGATGGGATGTAATAATTTAACGCAACGTCAAGGGACGTAAATAAGAGCACACTTATTTGACAGGAAAATAAACACGTACTGCATTAGATATTTCAAATTATCCACTTGTGAGTTGTTATAGAATGGGCTAGCGCCCTGGTGCCGCCGACCCCCCCTATTTGGGGGGTCCTGTAGAGACATAGATAGATAGATAGATAGATAGATAGATAGCTAGATAGCTAGATAGCTAGATAGCTAGATAGCTAGATAGCTAGATAGCTAGATAGCTAGATAGCTAGATAGCTAGATAGCTAGATAGCTTAGATAGTTTAGATAGCTAGATAGCAACATGCGTGGCTGCGAGAGTTGTTGCCTTGGAAAGGGTTTGGAGCCTGCGGACGGGTTTGGAGGGTTTTGAGGGGTTGAGGGCGGGCAAAAGGCAGCCTTGAACGCCCTCAAAAAAAGATGGCAGGGGCATGTAGCTGCGAGAGTTGTTGCCTTGGAAAGGGGCATGTAGCTGCGAGAGTTGTTGCCTTGGAAAGGGTTTGGAGCGTTTTGGAAAGGCCTGCGGGAATGTTTGGAGGGTTTTGATGGTTTTGAGGGCGGGCAAACAGCAGCCTTGAACGCCCTCAAAAACAGATGGCAGGGGCATGTCGCGAGGGTTGTTGCCTTGGAAAGGCCTGCGGGAGGGTTTGGAGCGTTTGGAGGGGTTTGGTTGAAGGCGGGCAAACGGCAGCCTTGAACGCCCTTAAAAACAGATGGCAGGGGCATGTAGCTGCGAGAGTTGTTGCCTTGGAGGGGCTTGGAGCATTGTGGAGATGGCAGGGGCATGTAGCTGCGAGCATTGTTGCCTTGGCAAAGGCCTGCGGGAGAATTGGGAGGGTTTGGAAGGTGCGGGCGGGCAAACGGCAGCCTTGAACGCCCTTAAAAACAGATGGCAGGGGCATGTAGCTGCGAGCATTGTTGCCTTGGCTCTTGGAACGGGTTTGGAGCGTTGTGGAAAGGCCTGCGGGAGAATTGGCAGGGTTTGGAAGGTGTGAAGGCGGGCAAACGGCAACCTTGAACGCCCTGAAAAACAGATGGCAGGGGCATGTAGCTGCGAGAGTTGTTGCCTTGGAAAGGCCTACCGGAGGGTTTGGAGCGTTTGGAAGGTTTTGGAGGGTTTGAAGGCGGGCAAACGGCAGCCTTGAACGCCCTTAAAAACAGATGGCTGGGGCATGTAGCTGCGAGAGTTGTTGCCTTGGAGGGGGGCAAACGGCAGCCCTGAACGCCCTTAAAAACAGATGGCAGGGGCATGTAGCTGCGAGCATTGTTGCCTTGCAAAGGGCCTGCGGGAGAATTGGGAGGGTTTGGAAGGTGCGAAGGCGGGCAAACGGCAACCTTGAACGCCCTGAAAAACAGATGGCAGGGGCATGTAGCTGCGAGAGTTGTTGCTTTGGAACGGGTTTGGAGCTTTTTGGAAAGGCATGCGGGAGGGTTTTGAAGGGTTTGAGGGCGGGCAAACAGCAGCCTTGAATGCCCTCAAAAACACATGGCAGGGGCATGTAGCTGTGAGAGTTGTTGCCTTGGAAAGGCCTGCGGGAGGGTTTGGAGCGTTTGGAAGGTTTTGGAGGGTTTGAAGGCGGGCAAACGGCAGCCTTGAACGCCCTTAAAAACAGATGGCAGGGGCATGTAGCTGCGAGAGTTGTTGCCTTGAAAAGGCGCGTGCCTTTGCCTGCGAGGTTGGGGGTGCCAGTGTTGCCATGGCAAACGACAAGAGAGCCAAGTTCCACACCTCCGGTGGTCCCAGGTGCCGCCCCTGCCTTGGCAAAGGCCGGGGTCGGCGGATATGCGCATATATTTGATGATATTTGTAGGGCTTAAAGGGACGTCCCCCTTGACCCCTTGACAACCAGTTTCGTGCGTACAAATTTGTTGGGCGGATTGGTGGGTGATAGTTTAGCCAGAAATAGTATGACAGCAGAACATTTTGCTAGAACATTACCAATATCCAGGTTTTCAAACATAACCATATCAATCGGTTCTTTGGCGGCCAAGACAGCCATGTGTAGGTCACTATGGGCCAAACAACTTCCCACTTGGGCCAGGCATAGATGTGTTGAATACAAATAGATTTGTGCGAAAATTCTCGGGAAGACCTCTCAATTTTGATGGTAGATCATCAAATTAGCCATTCAATGATTATAGGTTGGGGCAGGCGCATCCATTTTCAGACAATCCCATCTTAAATTTAGGCACACTTAGGCACACTTAGGCACACGGACTTCCGCAGCAAACCACATGGCAGTATTGGTCATCGAGGTTTTGGGGATGATGACCCCTGAGGCTGCCACCCTCCACCGCACCAGGGATCGGCTCAATCGCAGTGAAGCGAAAGTGCTTGGACCAGGGGATCAGGCTGCCTCTCCTATAACGTGTACTCTTGCGTTGGATCCAGGCAGATCCTTTCCTACTCGATCCGGAAGCTCGTCCCTTCCAGGGCAACGAACTAGTTGCACTGAGTAGTTCCCACTGTTGCCACCTGGCCCATGGTGGCAACGCAAGCGGATACCGGATATCAACTTCTCTCCATGGGACTCTGTTGGCAAATAATCAAGCAGGTCCAAAAAATATACGGGCGGCTCAGCAAAAAAACAAAACAAGTCCCAATGGTCCCAATGGCAAGGGTGTTGATTTAGAGATAGATACTTCGAGAAATTTGCATAGCTCTCAACGTTTAGACGGGTTAACACCTTTTCCATTTGTGGTGCGGACCCAATCGTATCCCATAGAGGTCGGAAAATGGCAACCTGGCGAGATCTAATCCCTGCTGTTTGCGCCTCTATATGACTCAACAATGTGCAAGGACCATTGGTTGGCATTACGATCATTAGATCCAATGTTGCAAAGTCATAGAAAATGAGAAATTTGAAAAGAAACCACGCGTACATAAAGATATGAAAAACATGCGTTATCATCAAGTGTTTTCTGAATGTCAAAATTCGAATTGGACCCCAGCTAGGTCTCATTCTCTCCGGGCCATGGCCTCCCGGCACAGGTTTTGCACGAGCCTTGCTGCAGAGCGTCGCCGTGAAGAAAGAGGCAACGGAATCCAGGCTGACTCGGCCTGACGGGGTGGATTTTATGGGATCATTGGGATTTAACAGGATTCAACCATCTAAAATGAGAACATCATAGGCCCATAGGCTAGGCATTTAACCAAGTTCTGGTTGGTGGTTTCATTTTGTTTCATATCTTCAGCCATCTTCTCCCCAGTGATTGACGTGTTGCAGGGCTGTTGAGGCCACCAACCAGTTGTTTTTCAACATTTTTTTCAACTAGATATACTTAGATAATATGGGAAATGCCTTCGGCACAGATTAGTGAACAACAGTGCTGAACCCATGTATCGATGATTATCCAAGAGGATCTTCCTTGCCTGAGTTAGGTTCCCAGAGGGTAGAAATTGATTGATAATATGAATGACCTGAAAAAGTCTCCGATAGATTACCTTGTTTTATCCCATTCAATATTTGATAGCGCAGTGGTATACACATGGGAGCTTGGGACAAGATTTCCGCAATGCTGGATTCAGGATTTTCATGGATGTCCCATCCGAGCTGCACGAACCTGGCTTAATCTGGGGAAACCATATTGATATCACTTTCTGCGGCCTCGCAATGAGTCAACCAGGGTTGAATAATCTGGGGGCCTAAAAGCGCCGCTAGAGCCTGGCGTAAACTGATGGAGAGGAGAAGTGTGTGCATGGAAGCCAGATTTGGCATGAACATGCCAATCAATTCGGCGCCCCTCATCGCTGTATATTGGTAAATGAAATTGCTGCGCTTCCGATCTTACAAAAAGGTACAAAGTGGTGCCTTCTAGATATAAGGTGGTTTTTTGAAAGACCAAAAAAGCAAGAGCATGCAAGAGCATGCAAGAGCTGCAAGAGCTAAAATCACCAGAAACCACTGTTATAATTCAGTTTCAACTTGAAGACCTGGTGCTTCAACTTGTATGTCCGCAGGGACCACGGATCCCTTGGATTGGGCGCCGGCAACGTAGCCGGGCGGCCTTTTAAGGCTTGGAGAAGCGTTGGATGGTCATGTGGTGAAGTATTAAACATCCCCATTACCATCCCCAATTCATATTAAACATGCATCCCATGAATCAAGGTCATTAATATTCATTAATCATTAATCCATCTAATGTTCACCCATTAATCTTATCCCCCATTCATATTACCCCCACCAGAAACCATGGTTTAGGGTACCACATGCTTGGGACCATGGATAAACCAGTTGGGACTATAATAATCATGCATTTCTACCATTGTTAATGACCATTATCCTGTTACTACTAATATATTATTGTTTGAGTTAATATCATTTATCCTAGCATCATTAATGACAATCAATTCCATAAACAATGATGACTATATGCACTAATGGGATGGTTTATGGTATCAAATTCATGAGAAGTGGGTTGACGATGAATCGTAGTATGATTTATCAAGCATTTGGCACTACAATAACCAACAATCAACAATAACACATCAAATCAACTATAACATATCACTATCAACTCTTTGTTATACTACCATTGTTATAGTGATTTATCAATGTAATTATCACATCAATCAACCATTTGGTAAGCTCAATGGGCGATAAGCGGAATATAATGGAGGTTTAACCCACGCTACAAGTGGTGCTAAGTAGGGAATCATGTGGTAACTCAAAAATGAACCATGAAACGCTCCCATTATTGAATCATAAAAGGGGGCTATGGTCAATCATCCCAGTCATAGGGGCATACCCAATTTCATAAACCCCTATTGTGGCCTCGGGTTTACACAATTTTTGTGTGTATAACGTAAAATGCCCGTTGGTAATTTAACATAGCAATTGAACATAATTGAAAATCACCATTTTTGACAGGTAAATCATCTACAAATGAGCAATTTTCCCATAGCTATCTTGAATTACCGGAGAGTAGGGTTAGGGGACATTAATGGGATCAACGGATATTTATGGGGATAGAATGGTAAATGCCCTCTAGCTATTTAGCATCGCCATGGAAAATGGATGGAGCTGGCCATGGATGATCGATGGATTGCTGTATTCGATGATTTGCCTATTGACACTACGCGTTGTCGTTGTTGTTGTTGTTGTTGCTGTTGTGAATTTCCAATAGTTATCTGATAGTTTATTGGAGGGTAGGGATACTGCTAACAGAGATTGTAATCAACAACGTAGGGATATTAAAAAGAATCATCGGATGTATCAGGAGTCGTAAGTGCTCAATAGAGTAAGTAGAGTTAGTCCAGTTGTTATTTTTGACTGAACTAGCCCACTTGCGTCACTTGCGACGATTCCCGGGGTGAACCACCACGTATCATCCATCAAAAACTCATAGGTATGAGTCACTGCTTGTGGGACCATTTTTTCTGGAACGTTTTTTTCTGTGACGCACGCGCGCACACACACACGCACATCCATGTGCCGTGAATTTTATGAACAATGTCGGGAGAAAACACCAAAATTTTGGGTCGTTCTGCTACCTTTTATTAGGCTTGAAATGGTCAAGGTCCATTTTTTTTTACTGGAGCTTTGCCGCATGTTCAGGAAACCTTTCCCAAATGCTACAGCTTAGACCTTCTGAGACTGTATTTTGCATGTATTTGCGGTTTTGGTGCATTTTGGAGGTCCAAAGACTTGAGAAGGATTTGGAGATTTAGAGCATTGGGAAGCGATCAGGAGCAGCCACACGTGGTGACCGAGAGTCAGGAGCTGTGCTTCTTGTGGAAGCCGAAAGGCCGCGAGTTGGGCTGAAGTCCATGAGAAACCAACAGAAATTGCCATAGATCCATGTAAAATTTGGGATTTTACCGACAAATATGTTGGTGTATGGTGGAATATATAAAGGGGATATGCTGGAATATATATATATATATATATTAATATATTATATATACATAAAGGGGATCATGTGGATAAATTTTGTCACGACCTCCGACCTCACGTCGCGACGTCACTGAAAATGATGTTGTGTCGAAAAAGGGGAATCATTTTGTCGAATCATCCCGAACAGCCTTAGTTCAGCTTGGTGAATTACTACAATGTGGTTAAAACAATTATAAACCATTCCCAAATTCACCATAAACGGGGTCTATAAACAATCAAAAATGGGAATATATGGGAATAATATGGTTAAAACAATTTAAACCACCCATGACTGGGAATGGTAAACATACCACCTATCAAAATGGTGATGACTGGGGGATGGTGCAAATGGCATTGTTTTGCCCACATTACTTTAATATGTTTTAAGCTATACTGTATCCAGAATTCCTGGGAACCTGGAAGCAACAATTGCTAAAAAAGCAGTGGGTTGAATGGTGTTTCTTGAGCCGACCAGTACTCTAAAAACGGCTTTATTCCAAGAAATGTATTTGCTTCGTGGACTACATCAGCAGGAACATGTTTTGTTCCCGTTCAGCGTCTTAGAAGAATCCTCATCCTCAGGCGCGGATCGCATTTCGAGTAGGAATAGGTTAAAGTTCATTTAATTTAAAGCAAAACATCTAATCCGCGTCATGCATATGAAACCCGGTAGTATGGGGTTGCAGCAGCTAGACAAGAGGAAAGACTCACGTCCCATGGTATTGTATGGCCCTCAAATTGATTTGAGTACGAAATAGTACGAAGGTGCTTGTCGGGTCCCCAGAGGAAAACAACGAAGCAAGGAATTGAGTGGTCCCCCATTTACTTTACAAAAAAAACTGTTTTGACTGTCCAGATACGATTGGCATGCGTCAGGCTTCAGACCCCACTAAGCATGTCAGGGACTGTTTCCATACACAAAATGTTCAGATTCCCCTGGTTGCAAAGAAACCAAAGAGGAAATGACAATTATAATATGTTATTGCTACATAATGTATCAACACATACCAAAATATATCATAATATACCATAATATACCATAATATATCATAATATATCATAATAAATCATAATATACATATATATCTATTAATCTACTATCAATCTATCTTATCTTATCTTATTTTATCTTTTCTTTTCCGCCCTTATCTAATCTTATCTAGTCTTATCTTATTTTATCTTTTCTTTTCCGCCCTTATCCAATCTTATCTATTCTTATCTAATCTTATCTAATCTTATCTGATCTTATCTAATCTTATCTAATCTTATCTAATCTTATCTAACCTTATCCAATCTATTAATCTATCTACCTGTCTGTCTATCTATCTGTCTGTCTATCTATCTATCTATCTATCTATCTATCTATCCATCTTTCTATCTATCTATCTATCAATCTATCAATCAATTTATCTATCTATCTATCTGTCTATCTATCTATCTATCTATCTATGTATCTATCTATCAATCTATCAATCAATCAATCAATCTATCTATCCATCTATCTATCCATCTATCTATCTATCTATCTATCTATCTATCTATCTATCTATCTATCCATGGTGGTTTCGGTTCGGTTCGGTTCGGTTTCGGTTTCTAGTATTTGGTATAGGCCCGGTTCGGTTCCTGTTCGGTTTCGGTTCCTGCGGTTCCTGGTCGATTTCGGTTCGGTTCGGTTCGGTGTTTGGAACATTCTGCATTGATATTTGCTTTTTTTCCGGCGTCGGAAAAGCAAATACAGATTGCTTCCCGCAAGAGGTTTATAGCTCAGGCCTTTCTAGGTGCTTGAAAGCCATGTCGAGGATGTGCCAGGCCCACTTGTTGCCTCCATGCTTGCGACATCCCGAAATCCTTCTTGCTGTGGGCATTTCATTGCATGGCCTTCCTGAAATGCCACCTCAGCCCGAAGTTCCAGTTGACACTTGTGAGGAAGGGCAGTTAAGGAAGAGGGGCCGCCCCAAGAAGGATGAGCAACGGTTTGTTTCTGGCGATGGCCCGAGACAAAGCCAGCGTCGGCAGGTCAGAGCTGCAGAGCATGGTTTGAAAGTTGGAATCCAGTTTGGTTTTGGTAACGCATGGAGTTTCAATCCGTGTCTTATTAGAGCACACTTCCCAAAAAATGTGGGGTTCCTGTCTTCAACGGCTGCCTTCACAGGCTGAATATGAGATAGCGCTACTCCAGAGCGATTCCTCCATTACGTGTTGTTTGAAATCACCTTTCGCTGCGGAAGTGAAAGAGTTGCTGAAGACGCACAGCAAGGTACAGAGTTCCAAAAGTTGTGGGGATTTCAGGGAAGTTTTGTTTTTACTTTTTCAGAAGCGTGAAAAAAGCAAATCAGAGGGGTTCTTTTATCCCTTCCTTTTGTCACCTTGTTTTCCGACCCTTCCCCAGCCCGCTCTCTCACCCCCTTTTCCTTCCCCTTCCTTGTCTCTCTGGGGGTGCGTGTGCTGGTGATCCACGTCCCTGCCTGGGGTGGTGTCCCACGGCATGGGGTGCGTGCGACCCAGCCACCTCCCCAGAGTGTCTCTCTCTCTCTCATTTGTATGTATGTATGTCTGTATGTATATATAGATATACATGTATATATATATATATATACATATATATATACATATATATATATATAGGGATAGATAGATAGATAGATAGACAGATAGATAGACATATAGAGGGTATGTATGTCGGCTGAATCCTTTCTAAAACATCAGAGCGGTGCTCACATGCGGTCAGGATTTTCCAAGAGCAGACGGCGAAGAGCCGGTGGACTTAAAGATTTCTCGACCAGCTTTGTATCTTCTCCAGCGTGCTGTGGAGAGCTATGGAGTGCAGCTGATGCACAAGGTGAACCTGTTGGCAAAGCACCGCAAGGCGCAGACGGTGGAGCTCCGCGATCTGCGAGCACTGCTTGCTTTGGAGGCAGCCCACGAAGGCATGGTTACCCCGGCTTCGTCCAGTTGCTGCGGCTTGAAGAAGGCCCGAAAGTCTTGAAGCTGAAGGGCTAGGGTCAATGTGCGGCATTGAGATTAGCCTTTTTTTGCTTTTGTTTGTACAACAAGTTGCGAAGGATCGGCTTGTTTGTGGGGAGACTCTTGACTTGACAGTCAAGCCATGGAGAGCGCTGAGGAAGAAAACATGCCTAGACATGTACAGAGGACATGGCAGTTCTTGCTTTTTCAAAGGGCCAGAGAAAGCAAATCCAATCGGTTGGTCAAGGATTTGTGTTTTGCGTTTTTGAAGGGTCAGAGAAAGCAAATCCATCTCTTGTCTGTGCAGATTGATTTTCTGGACATGGCCAGCTCGCGAATGGTCTGTGTGCGTAGTGATTAGTGCTAGATCACAAATAGAAAGCAGCAGATTGACTTGCATACCATTTGGCCACTTGCAAGTGCCTGTGAGCCCTGCGGTTCAATCATCAAAAGCTGCAGGCCACCCCACGCAATGTAGTTTGAATCCTTGACCTCGCTGTTGCTATGTCCTTTGCTCACGAGTATTTCTTTTTCAAAGGGCCAGAGAAAGCAAATCCAATCGGTTGGTCAAGGATTTGTGTTTTGCGTTTTTGAAGGGTCAGAGAAAGCAAATCCATCTCTTGTCTGTGCAGATTGATTTTCTGGACATGGCCAGCTCGCGAATGGTCTGTGTGCGTAGTGATTAGTGCTAGATCACAAATAGAAAGCAGCAGATTGACTTGCATACCATTTGGCCACTTGCAAGTGCCTGTGAGCCCTGCGGTTCAATCATCAAAAGCTGCAGGCCACCCCACGCAATGTAGTTTGAATCCTTGACCTCGCTGTTGCTATGTCCTTTGCTCACGAGTATTTCCATGCGAAACGAGCAGAGACAGGGCATCTTCGTTTCTGCAAGATCTGTGCACCAGAAATCCCTCCTTTGAAGGACGTGCTGGCTGCGAAAGGGGAAGAATTTGACCAAAGAGTTTCTCAAGTTTGGGGCGGTGCAGAACGATGCCAGCACCAGTGCGATGGTCAACCATCTACGTCTGAAGCACCCAGAGACTCTCCCCAGCGGAACTCCTGTGAAACGGAAAAGCAGCGCAGATGATGTGGAGACCACGCCCAGAGACAAAACGCTCTGCAGAGATTGGGTAGAGCATATGCTTTTTGCTGCCTTAGAACCTGCCAGACTGGTGGAGTCCAAACATGCAAAAGCAGTGCTGGTTCCTCGCATGGGTCCATTGCCAACCCGCAAAGAAGTCACGCGTGAAGCTGACCTTGCTGTGAAGGATATCGAACAAGAGGTGGTCCAGATAGTCAAGGAAAGTTTGGAAGCTGGTGCAAAATTCACGCTGTCTGCGGATACGTGGAAGCCAAAGGCCAAAAAGAGGAAACATTTTTTGGCTATGTACTTGAACTTCATTTCTCCGACCTGGGAGCCTTGCAGCCTCTGCGCTGGCGTTGTGGAAGCACCTCCTCCTCGCACAGGACTAAGCTCCAGATGTTTATAATTGCTTCTTTTTTGTGGGAGCAGGGTTGCGTATTTGCTTTTTGGATATCCTCAAAAAAGCAAACCTGTGCTGAAGCGTTTCTGGTGCAGGACAAGCACATACGCAGCACTTCCAGACACTCTTGAAGGACATGGGGTTGAGCACTTCAGATCTAATTGGTGCCTGCTCCGACCATGAGTCGGCAATCAGAGCTGGGCTACGGGGGTTGGAGTGCGCTTTGATAGGATGCGGAGCTCATGCGATACAGCTCGCCATCAAACATGCTGTCCCACCTTTACGTCCTCCCCGCAAAGCGGCTAAGCGGCAGCAACGTGGAACATCCTCATCTTCGTCTTCGGACACCAGCAGTTCCAGCAGCGGCAGTGCCTTGGTATTCAAGACATGGTTTTCTTTTGTATTCTAAAATCCAGAGCACTGGTCTTTGCAGCTGGT